TATGAGAAAATACTATATAGTTGTATAATAGGAGTCTACTGGTTATATTAGAAGAGAGATTATCTTTCAAGGTTTTTCTTACAATTTCTAGGTCTTCTTCTGTTTGGGCTTCTTTTTGTGGTTTAGATTCAATAGCAATATTTACTACTTCAGAGTTAGATATAACATCACTCCATGGGGTTTCTGAGTAGGGTCAGCTTCTTGAGAGAAAGTTTCATAAGTATCGTAAAAACTTTCTTCAGTACTAGAGTCTTCTTCATATCCTAAGTGAAAAATTTCAACTTCATTATCAAGATCAATAAGGTTTTCTGCTAAAGCAGCTTCTAAGGCTTCTTGCTTAGTTGGTAAATTGAGCAGGTTAGCTTCTGTTTCTTCATCTAAAAGATGGTCTTTTTCATATATTCTGAATAAGGAATTAGTATTATTATGCTATTTTCCTGCTCTGTAGATTATAGTAAAGTTGTAAGATTCAAATCACATAATCCATCTTGCTTTTTTTCCTACAAGTTTAGTAGTTCTTAACCATTTTAAAACAGTATAGTCAGTTATTAGATAGAAGTAGTTTCCTTCTATATACTGGTAAAAATGTTTAACTGCCCATACAATAGCAAGGTATTTTAATTCTTTCGCAGAGTAGTTTTGTTCTGCTCTTGAGAGGCTTCTACTAGCAATACAATTATATGCTCTCTTTTATTTTTATCAATTTGTGCTAATATGGCTTCAAGACCAGTTTGTGAAGCATCAGTATAAATATAGAATGGTTTATTAAAATTAGAATATTGTAAAATTGGTGCAGTAATAAGGCATTCCTTTAAGGTTTGAAAAGCTTCTTCTTGTTTTTCTCCCCAATAGTATGGTTGGTCTTTTTGTAGAAAGCTATTCAAAGATTTGGCAATTTTAGAAAATTCTTTTATAAATTTTCTGTAATATGAGGCTAGTTTAAGAAAATCTCTAATTTGATGAATAGTGGTAGATGTTGAAAAGTTTTTAACTTTTTCAATCTTTTCTTCATCAGGTTTTACTCTATCTTTTCCTATAATATGTCCTAGGAATTTAAGTTCATTTAAAAAGAAAGAATATTTTTCAATATTTGATTTGAGGTTAGCTTCTGCAAGCTTATCAAAAACTAATTGTAAATGAGAACAATATTCTTTGAATATTTTTGAGTAAATGGCAATATTATCTAAATATACAACTAAGAACTTATTAATAAAGAGATATAGAATTTTATCTATTAGACATTAAAAAGTAGCTGGTGCATTGCACAAACCAAAAGGCATAACATTAAACTCATATATTCTATACTGAGTAATAAATACTGTTTTCTTTTTATCTTTTTCTTGTATAGCAACTTGCCAATATCTACTGGCCAGATCCAAGCTTATAAACTATTGAGCACATTCAAAGACAGATAAGATTTTATTAATATTAGGAAGAGGATTTAAAAATTCCAAAATCGATCGAGCTTTTTTTCCCGCACCCTAGTAAGGACCATGAGCTATTTGATTCTTGAATAATTTTACATTTTTCTATTTCTTTGATTTCTTTTTCCAAGAATTCTAGATCATCTGATGATGCTTTATAAGCTTATTGTTTAATCAGTTTAGTACTAGAAGTATTACTTTCATAGCAAACTTCTTTGGTTTGTCCTAGTTCTAAGATTTGTTTTTCTTCAGAAATGTTTTCAGCAAAGATTTGGTGGTTGTTCATAAGAATTTATTTAGTTTCTTCTCTTTGTTGTCTATTCAAAAAAGTATTGACAATTAGAAGAGGTGTTGTAGAAACTTCAGCAGTCAAAGCAACATATACTACAGAGTTTTTGTCAGAAACAATATTAGTCCAAGGGTTTTAAAATAAGAGGTCATTATCTTGGTCTCCTTCTTTAGTATAGTAGATTTCTGCTTTATCTTGTTTTTAGATTTCATCAATCTATTTATCTTCATTTGTAAATTCTTCAAATTTATCAGGTATTAGCACTCACTAACATGGGTCATATAGCTAGAAGCTCTTTTTCCCAAGTATTTAATCTTTAGAGTATGGTTGTCAAAGTCTAAAGTGGCTCTGGATTTTGTAAACCAATCTGTTCCTAACAAGTGAGTTTTATTTTTGAACTCGATTATTTGCAGGTCGATAGAAATTGCAATATTTTGAAATGCAATATTCACATCACTAATTGATTCTAGAGCTTTTTCTCTAGCTCTATTAGCAGTTACTACAATAGTCTTAGATTCTTTAGTAATATGTAATTCTAGTCTTTGTATTAGCTTTTTGGTAATAATACAAACAGCACCACCAGAATCAAGGATAGCAACTACTGATTGTCCTTCAATATTAACATAACATTTCATAGCAACAGTTTTCTTTGTTGGACCCAATTCCAATTAGTTAGCTTCAGTAGTTACAATAGTTTTTCTTTTCATTATCTAGCAAGGTTTTTATATTGATTAGGATATTGCAATAATTGTCTATAAATAGTTTGAGCAGGTCGATTTAGCAAATCTTTTGCAATATCATAGGGTTCAAGTTGGTTGATTATAGAAGGCAGTTTCTTTGCTAAACTTCTCTTTGCTTTGGTTGCTTTTGGTATTGGCTTGGAAAGTTCAATAGATTTAGCTTCTATTTCTTTAGATTCGATATTAGGTTCAGTATAGATAGTTCTATTCTTTAACTTCATTTCTCTTTAAGATTCAGATTGTTTCTGAGCTTCTTTTTGAACTTTTCTGTTTGTTCTATATGGTTGAGGTCTGGGTGCTCTTGTAATATAAACTTTTTCTTTTTTAGTTAAGTAATCTTCTTCTATAGCTGTATAGTTAATCTTTCTTCTAGTTGAAGGTTGGCTATTTATTTGATATCTTTGTTTTTTTGTAAAAAGATATTCAGACATGCAATTTCTAGTATAATGTTCTTTTTTACCATATCTGAAGCAGGTAATATGGGTTTAAAATTATTGTTATTATTATTAAATCTGAGTCTGGATATATTAGAAGAATAATTTATTTGTTTTGGTTTAGATGTGTAGGATGGTTCAGCTTGAGCAGTCAAAGCAAAATCAATTGAAGCATAGTTAATAGACATTTGGCTCATTTGTTTGGTTAATTGCTTTTTTCTTTTTTGTATTTATTAGAAAAAATTTCTTTAATAGAAACAGAATCAGTATTAGTGGCAAAGTCCATTCTTTGTTCATAGGTTTTAGTACATTCAAAGAAGATATTCAAATTACTAGAGTTATGGGTAAGTAAGATAGGAAGAACTTCTGGTCTTAATCCTTTTTTAAAGTAATATAACTTTTGGGCATCTTGAAATAGAGTTGTCCCAGTATCTACTCTTATGAGCAATCACTTAAACCTATTATAATAAGTATCTACAGATTCGTTATATCCTTGTCGTAACATATCAAAGTCTCTAAGCCATTTGTTTTGCTAGCACTGGGTACAAAAAGTAGTTTTAAAGGCAGTTTCAATTGTAGCCCAATTTGTTTTTCTGTCGACATAGTCAGGAACTGTAATAGTCCAATCTTTAGCATTATCTCTTAAGAAAACAGCAAGAATATCTTTCTTTCTAGCCAAATTTCACTTATTTGCCTGAGTGGCTTTGTTAAAATCATCTAACCAGGTAAGAGGGTCTTGAGTACCATCTTCTTTAAAGGATTCAACTCTCAAAAGCATATTTTCTTTTTCATTATCTCTCAAATAATTAAGAATGTGTTTGCAGTTGTCATTGTAATATTAGGTTGTTGTTCACAAAAGAGGTTGTTGAATGAGTCACTATAATTCTTAAAATCAGTATGATAAGGAGAACAAAAGTCTTCATCTGTTAAAGTAAAAGGGTTTCTTTAATAATAGTTAGTATAAAATAGCTAAAGAAGCAACAGATCTAATTATATCAAGGATGTTTTCTGGTAAACTAGTATAACAAAAACTATGAATAAGTTTGAAAATAGTGTTCTTAAGCTGAGGTAGGTTAAATTGTGTATAAATATCTTTTATACTATAAAAATAGTCTAATGATTTTTGTAAAAAATTACAAGCAGGATATTGTTGTTAATACTAATAATAGAAGTTGTAAAAGTCTTTTGATATAAAGGTTGTTGCTAGGTTGCAAATATTACAAGAATTATCAGGTTGACTCAAAAAAGCTTCAGTAAGATGTTCTTGTTGGTATATGAATATCTTTATACCATAATCTTGAAAATTAAATTGCATATAATAATAAAAAATTAATATAGACTTTCAACATTATTTGTAGTTCAGGGTGGCGTTTTCTTACTAAGATATACTTAGTAGAAAATTGCGCAAGGTCTTCAAGAGTGTATATTTAAAATTTCAGCTCAAACGGAGCAATATTGATGGACTTCACTTAGTACCAAACATTTTCTGAATTTATCGTAAATTTGGGTTTTCTTTCACAAAATATCACAAATAGAGCGCTGTATCTTACAGTCACCACCAATTTGTTATCCTATATCCACTTCTTTAAAGATAGTAGATAACTAGAGTGACTGTAACCAGTGAATACTTTGTGTAATATCCTAAGTTACTGTATTTTAACTAAATCGGTATGGTGTTTTTACAAAACTTAACAAAGAAGATTTAAGACAATTTGTAATTATGAAAGAGGCAACAATTAAAAGTATATAAAGTTACTAATAATTTTTTAGGATTTTGTATTCAAAAGGTATTTTATTATTGAAAGTGTATGAAGATACAATATTAAACTCAAGGTCCATATTTGCTGCCTTTATACTTTATAATTTTTTAGAAACGTAACAGTCTATATCTAGTATCTATGCTACAAATATTACAAATATACTAATAAGCTATATAATAAACATAATACAGATACTATCTATAACAAAAATAATATAAATATAATATGTAAAATAAATAATATTGATGCTATAAAAATGATATGTAATAGATATGCTACATGTAAAACATTTTGCACAGTTGATTATCAGCCAATTAGGTTGTGTACATGTAATCTATATAGAATATTTGATCAAATCATATTTTTAGTCTGATCTTAGCTTTCTGTTATTGGATTTGGATGATCTCATCATCTTTAGATTCATCTTGATAAGCTAATTCAAATAGTAATAGTTTCATCTTGATTGGACTGGTAGTTGTGGAGATATGAGCCAAAATAATTTTTTCAAAGGTTAATAATATGATAAAGTACTGTATTATCATATACTAGATTTTTCTTGGCTTAGATGCTTTTCATAAAAAAATAAATATACAATACTAGACAAAAGTTTCTCTATATCTTTAGCTTTGCTAGATCATATGCAAGCACATGAAATTTTATTCATATATAGTATATTGTATATGCAGATTGTACTAATATTCTTTGAGCATGATTAATAGTAAAAATACCTGCTTCAATCATGCATGAAATTTCAACCAAAAAAATACTTCATGCTTTATATAAATGATATAAAATCATTTTTTTAAGCACCTATCCAAAAGGCTTCAAGCTTTCGATCTGTGAAACAGCAAAGCAAGTTCACTGTGAAGAAAATTCTTTGCACTATTAGATAAAAGATGGCAAGAAACCAAGAACCTAAGTGACAAACAAAGGTTGAATTGTAAAAAAGCCACTA